TACCCCTCACCCACAACTGCTCGTAGTTGCAGCTCCTGATCAATTAATCAAAGACCTAAACTAAACTATTAGTATTACTAAGTAGCGGAGAAGATGATCATAGACCCATGGTGGCTTGCTATTCATATATAGAATAGAAGCTTGGGGAGCATGTATTTATAATTTAGTTGAGAAGAAAACCAAGTGTAGTTGAGTTTGAGAAGAAGATGGTATTTTGTTTAACTTAGATTTTCAAACACAGCATGGCAGAACACACGACAAAGTAGCAAACAGGTAGCTAGGCTTGCTTGCTTCTTGAATATTACAAGATAGAGAAGATAGCATTAATGTGAGAAGATATAATAAGAAATAGAAAAATTAGATGATGATGGGCATCTCCACCACCGCCACAGTAACGAATCTCACAGCACTCTGTCTGTGTCAACAATTTCAAGACAAGACCACACTACAAGGTGGAGCTAGCGTATATATATTTATGAATTTGTTTCTTTCTTGGTTTTGGTCGAAGTCGATGTGTTTCACTTTCAAACACGCATCTAGGGATGTACATGTTGTATGATGTATGCGGTGTTGTTCAAAGTTTCAACTTTCAACTTCAAGGAGGGAGGAGGCAAATGCTATTCTCTTAAATTGTTTGTTTATTATGGTATATGGATATGATTTATTTGTTGTTGTAACTTGTATCCATCTTATCATGATCAACATGTTTGACCTAGGCCATTTATTTTTAATTGCCCCAACATGTATATATTAATCTCTTCGCTGGCGTTGGCTGGCCCATCTGGGAAGCATCTGGGAAGCAAGGGTTGGTTGCAGCCAAAAGCTATTTCCTCAAAATTCACTATATAAATAATAGAGAGACCTAATAAGTGAGATGTAAGCATTAAAAAAATAAAGAATTGTGATGGAAAATCATGTTCTTTTCATTTGATACATTTCTGATGATCTTTTATTGAATAATTATACGTACTTTGCAAGGAATCATGAAAAAATTGAAACTAGGTTAATCATCTCTGAAACTGAAATGCATCCACAGACAGAGAGACTAGAGTATGTTTAATCAGATACGTTTGTCCACAAAACAAATGGACAACAGCCAGCCACATAAATTAAGTCAAGATAATAATAAAAGGTCGTACAAGTTAAAACAAGAGTAGGTAAGCGAGACCAAGCAGATAGATAAAGATTAAACTTCAAAGACTGCCTGCCTGCCTGCCTGCCTGCCTGCCTTTGTAAATTGAAATGTTGCCATCAGCAGCAGCACAACCCAAAAAAAAAAAATGTGGCACACATGAAGTGACTGACAGACAGACCAGTAGAAGAAGAAGAAGAAGCGCATGCTTATTGACCAAAAGGCAGATGATTGGATTTTCAACTTTGGCCTTTACTAATACTGATACTAATATTACTAATACTAGCTGCTAAAGTTGTTGAGTCCTCACACGCTTGTGATTGTGTGAAAACAAAGACCGTCAAAACTCAAAAACAAAACAAAGCTATTTCCCTTTTCCCCAGTCAAGGAAGGGGTTCCCGAGTCAGAATTGGAGTTATAATTTCCTCTCTTAAGACTACTAGCTAGTCTCTTATTTCAAAGGCTGTATGCGACCTCTCTGTCTCTTTGTTTCCCCACCACACACGTCTCCTTCTTTTGCCTTTTCTAAATCAACTTCCATTCCATTTATTTGCTTTGCGCTCTCTCTCTCTCTCTCTCTCTCTCTCTCTCTCTCTCTCTCTCTCTCTCTCTTGTTGCAGTTGTACAAGAGTAAGTAACATATATTCCTAGTTGCCTACATATAAATGGGTTGCTTCCGCTTCAATTAAGCTAGAGCTAGTAGCTTGCTCTTCTTCAATCTTATTCATTATATTCAGCAGAACCAATATCATATATTTGATTTATAGATGGAGAAATTACCAAACTTTGTTATAAACGGAGGAGTGAAGATGCCAGTTGGGTACCGGTTTCACCCCACTGATGAAGAGCTTGTGATCCACTACTTGAAGAGAAAGGTCCATGCCGCGCCATTGCCTGCTTCCATCATTCCCGACTTTGACGTCTTCCACACTCATCCCTGGGGCTTGCCAGGTACTTCATTTAACCCAACTGAAACTGAACTGAGAGAGAAGAGTAGTTGAAAACAAAGACTATAGGTAGCTTATTGATCCATTATTTCTCTCTCTCTCTCTCTCTCTCTCTCTCTCTCTGTGTTAGGTTGTGGAGGTGATGTTAGGGAAAAGAGGTATTTCTTTTACAATAAAATAAATGCGAATGAGATTGACGACACTAAGAGAGCTGCTGGCTGTGGTTACTGGAAGCCTATGGGCAAAGAGAAGCAAATTGTTGATCCTGAAAGCAGCGAAGCAGTTGGGATCAGGAAAACGTTGGTTTTCAGCCAAAGGAAGCGCCGTTACCATGAGACTCAAACTAAAACTCGATGGCTCATGCATGAATATCAGCTCTTGTCTTCTCAAGTAAACCCAACCCATACCCAGGTATTTATTTATGTAACTAGTTATTAATCTTTTTGCCAATTAATACAGCCATTAAATAACTAATATGATGATCATCATATCATATATAATGCAGGCATCTAAAAGGGAACCGGGAAACTGGGTTGTGTATCGCGTATTTCAGAGAAAGAGAAAGCCTCAAAGATCATCAGATATTATTCCTCAACCCTCCAACAGCAAGAGGACTCGGACTCAGAGATTAGTGGAGGTGATTACACCTTCTTCCTCCTCCTCATGTTCGAGTGATATCACTCACCTCTCTTCCAATGCCAATAGGCTAGATCATGATCAGGAGGAAAACAGCAGTGCTGCTGCTGATAATTAATATAGATATTCTTGATCATATATATATATATATATATAATATTTTTGCCTGAGACGACTGAAGATGAGAGAGAGCTTTTAAGCTTCCTTTCATGAGAATGCAACTGTAGCGCAACAAATTAAATGAGAAAGAAAAGGCTTAATTTTATCTTTAATTTGAATGGCTTATCAAAGTTACGATGCGCAAGAATATTAGCTAGCTAGATTAATTATTGTCTTCTTCATGGCAAATCCAAAATGAAGCGCTGTGCTTCACCCAAAAAAAACCAAAGAAAAAAAGAAGCGTTGTGGGTTTAATTAATAATTATATTCTTGTTTCCCTACCTTACCTTGCTTTATTGGGTTCATCAGATAATTCACCATACCATATGTATGTATTTGGGACATATGATTATATATCATAG